TGAAACAAAATGAACAATTTGATCAATAAATAATCGATTAGACTCGATTATTGTTTTCAAATAAAACAACCTGCTGGTAGAGATTTTGCGGAGGATGGACGAGCTGATGACCACGATCAACCGGAACACCATCAGCGTTCACCTGAAACAAAATGAACAATTTGATCAATAAATAATCGATTAGACTCGATTATTGTTTTCAACTAAAACAACCTGCTGGTAGAGATTTTGCGGAGGATGGACGAGCTGATGACCACGATCAACCGGAACACCATCAGCGTTCACCTGAAACAAAATGAACAATTTGATCAATAAATAATCGATTAGACTCGATTATTGTTTTCAAATAAAACAACCTGCTGGTAGAGATTTTGCGGAGGATGGACGAGCTGATGACCACGATCAACCGGAACACCATCAGCGTTCACCTGAAACAAAATGAACAATTTGATCAATAAATAATCGATTAGACTCGATTATTGTTTTCAAATAAAACAACCTGCTGGTAGAGATTTTGCGGAGGATGGACGAGCTGATGACCACGATCAACCGGAACACCATCAGCGTTCACCTGAAACAAAATGAACAATTTGATCAATAAATAATCGATTAGACTCGATTATTGTTTTCAACTAAAACAACCTGCTGGTAGAGATTTTGCGGAGGATGGACGAGCTGATGACCACGATCAACCGGAACACCATCAGCGTTCACCTGAAACAAAATGAACAGTTTGATCAATAAATAATCGATTAGACTCGATTATTGTTTTCAACTAAAACAACCTGCTGGTAGAGATTTTGCGGAGGATGGACGAGCTGATGACCACGATCAACCGGAACACCATCAGCGTTCACCTGAAACAAAATGAACAGTTTGATCAATAAATAATCGATTAGACTCGATTATTGTTTTCAAATAAAACAACCTGCTGGTAGAGATTTTGCGGAGGATGGACGAGCTGATGACCACGATCAACCGGAACACCATCAGCGTTCACCTGAAACAAAATGAACAATTTGATCAATAAATAATCGATTAGACTCGATTATTGTTTTCAAATAAAACAACCTGCTGGTAGAGATTTTGCGGAGGATGGACGAGCTGATGACCACGATCAACCGGAACACCATCAGCGTTCACCTGAAACAAAATGAACAATTTGATCAATAAATAATCGATTAGACTCGATTATTGTTTTCAACTAAAACAACCTGCTGGTAGAGATTTTTGCGGAGGATGGACGAGCTGATGACCACGATCAACCGGAACACCATCAGCGTTCACCTGAAACAAAATGAACAATTTGATCAATAAATAATCGATTAGACTCGATTATTGTTTTCAAATAAAACAACCTGCTGGTAGAGATTTTGCGGAGGATGGACGAGCTGATGACCACGATCAACCGGAACACCATCAGCGTTCACCTGAAACAAAATGAACAATTTGATCAATAAATAATCTATTAGGCTCGGTTCCAACTCTTTTAATAGAGTTATAAAGTCCACAGTTTCATTTTGAAAAATAACGTCTAGCGCCTGAGAATAGTACGGAGAAAGAACTCACATCAAAGTCCACCAGCTGCGGGTGATGAGCGGCCGGGCTGCGGGATCTAAACCGGTAGCGATCATAAACTGTTCCAGATTCCGATTGACACCATGGGTTCGTTAACAAAAAGCGTGACTACGCCTAGGCTTAGAGTAAAATAAATGCTCCGAATCAAGCCCTACAGCTACAACTTATAACCCTACAGCCAGACTATTACTGACAGCCTACAAAAGTTAAGCGTGATCTCAAATATAAAGATTCTGTAATAATATTAATTCTATCAGCAGAACAGTTATTCCTCATGTAACTCTTAATATAAAACTAGAAAAAACAAATAGTACTCGAAAAATTACTCCAGGCTACATGAAAACTTGAATTATTTAACTTGAAACGAAACTCACCGGCTGTGCGAGCCGGCCCGAGGCCGCTCGACGCGCTAAAGAAAGCATTAGAAATATGCAAATAGCCAGAAGGACCCGATCATCTCCATAATTCCGAAGCAATGAAAAAGAAGAAACGAAAAGCGAGCAAATTCCATGAAACCTTTTTCAATGAAAAGAATTGTTGAAAGAAAGTCGTAGAAGATGATCGGATGCTTCTGATTATTGCAAAATCCACTTCGTATCTGAGAATCATGAAAAAACAAGATGATCAAATAGATAAAAAGGTGTCTGGATATCTCATGGCCGTGTCAAATTGATCTGAATGAAAGAATTGAGGGATGACAGCTGTGATATCAATGCTTCGGCTGTTTCAAATTTCATTTAAAAACAAAAGTTGAATGTGACAACTTTTGATTTCCCTAGTTCAGATACAAATTTATCTAAGCTAGCGTTTAGTTTTAACTAGAGAATTGGATAAGCTTCTCTAAAAATGCCAAAATTGAGCCCGATCTGATGATTTTGACTTGTTATGCTGAAACTTAATAAAAATTGTTGAAATGTCTCGATCGATGGTAAATAAGCTTTCGTAGATGGTTTCTTATCAAAATCAATTCGAAGCAGCGGGAAATGTTTGGCCTTCTCAGGGCGCGATGATATCTAAATCAACGAAAAACGAACCTTTTTCGTCGTGTGCTCATTGAAGGCGTTTCGTTGGCCTTAGCTGGGGTCCCAGCCGTTTTTAAAAAGGTTAAGATCCCGATTATTGTACGGAATAAGCTAAAAAGAAGCTAAATAGAGAATAAAATAGCCAACCTTACTTATTCCGCCGGATCTTCCGATTCAAGGCTTCGGAGTGGAATCCACAAGATGACATCACCGATTTATGGACTAGACACGTGCATTATTAAGAAAGAACAAAGTTTTCCTTCAGAAAACTGAAGCAGATGCCGGGATGCGCCGGGGAAAAGAGTGAGAATGTCCGGCGCCCGGGGCGGTCATCTGCCCGCAGATGGCCAAAACCGGAAGTCATCAGAGTGTGATTAACAAAACGAAGCGAAACAGAAATAACGAACATATCAAAATAGCTTTGAATAGAAGAAAAGATATTTATATAAATGAAAGGCAGAGCAGCTTGTCAAGGTGATCGGCCTTGTGAACTGAAATCGGTGTCTAACCGACCCCTCACTCAGATCTTTAATGACACGGCCATGAGTAGTCTGAAAGCAAGAAATCAGACGCTGTTTTGGAGCCTTTTGAAACCGGTTCCACTTGGCGATTTTGCAAAAATCATCTTTCATGATCCTCATATTACGAATTGGATTAACTAGGCACTTCTGGAGCAAACAGGATCAAACAAAAAAACAAACCGCAGCGCGCCCCCGAGCCGAGGCCCGCGGGTTGCTGTCGACCTAAATTGTCAAAAGTTTTGAATTCTCGACGCCCAAAAACGACAATTTCGGAGCTCGCTACCTGAGATTCGTTTCGGCTCACGGTTTATTATGACTGCCGACTTGATCGACCAAGAAATGCCCTATTCAGTGGGCAGTAAGATGAGCCGAACGAATCGTAAGGGAACGAGACCACCAAGTGATCGGTTTTGAGAAAGCCTAAGAGACAATTCCACATTCGACCATCTTCAAAATGGTGAAGTGTGTCACAAACACGTCACAGGGTTTCCCATGAAAAGGATCCCTACACAGGACGTAAAAAACAGGGCTCGGGCGCGGGCCCCGCCCCGGGCCGGGTCGGGGAAGAAAAAAAGGGGAACCGGAAGCTTTTTATTTATTTTTTTTACATTTGTTTTGCCTTTTCCTTTTCGGGAATTTATATCTTTTTAAACCTTTTTTTAAATTTATTTTTTGGCTTTTTTTTTTATTTTAATATTTTTTTAAAATTTCAAGGGTTCCCTCGGGAAACCCCCTGTAGCCACATATGGGTATTTTTGGGGGTCTTGACTTGCAATTTGAACTAGGGCCGCGAAAGGAGACTGAAGACCACTGGTTGGCAGAGATTTCAGTGTGAACTTTGTAACAGTTGTCCTTAATTTCCGGTTAAAAATCTTGCGTCTGATGCAAAAACGGCGTCATAATTGCAAAAAGCATTGTTATTGTCCTTTCCGCATATCCGGCCTACCCTGCTCGACAAACATGTCACTTCGGGGATCCTTTGGTACAATTCAAATAGGCGGGGATTAAGGTGGGGGCAACCGCCGTCTCTAGGCACCTCCTCTGCCTATAGGCCCATTTTGTGCCCCGCCTTCCCGCCTATTTAACTTGTACCATCCTTTTTGGGCTTCACCCTGTACTAGTATTAGAAGAAATATGAGCTATTATTGAACCAGAGATGGTTGTCGCCACTACGCGCCGCAACCATCTGGCCTTCGGGCTACCCTACATGTCCCACTCCACCACATCCATTCCCACTCCCATCAATGCCGCCGATAGCGGAAACCCCAGTTCAAAAACTACCTAAATACCTTCCTGATGGCATCAGATACCCCCATGGCTGAAATCCCCTTCAAAAAACTACCTAAATACCTTCCTTTCTGATGGCTTAAGATACCTCCCTAGTCGAAATCCTCAAAAAACTTCCAAAATACATCTCCCGATGGCCTCAGATACCCCATGGCTGAAATCCCCTTCAAAAACTACTTCCAAATACATTCCCGATGGCTTCAGATACCCAGCACATGGCTGAAATCCCCTTCAAAAACTACCTAAATACATACCTCCCGATGGCCTCAGATACCCCCCATGGTTGAAATCCCTTCAAAAATCATTCCAAAATATTGAATTCTCGATGGCTTCAGATACCCCACATGGTTGAAATCCTCTCAAAAACTACCTAGATACCTTCCCGGATGGCTTAATGTACCTCCCTAGCCGAAACCCCTTCAAAAACTACCTAGATACCTTCCCGATGGCTTAAGATACCTCCCCTAGTCGAAATCCCCCTTCAAAAACTGCTCCAGATACCTTCCCGGGATGGCTTAAGATACCTCCCTAGCCGAAATCCCCTTCAAAAATCTCCTCGACCTAGATACCTTCCTGATACTTAAGATACCTCCCCTGGCCGAAATCCCCTTCAAAAACTACCTAGATACTTCCTCGATGGCTTCAGTGACCCCATGGCTGAAATTCCTTCAAAAACTACCGAGATACCCTTCCCGATGGCTTAAGATACCTCCCTAGCCGAAATCCTTTTAAAAAACGAAAGTAACGACCGACCGGATGGAATGAGAGAAAAAGTAAATCCCCCGTGAAAATTTTCAACCACGAAACCGCGCGACCTGGCTCACTATGCCCAAAATCACTCCAACCTCCGTCCCCACCCCTTTTACTAAGGAAACTTTCAAAGTTAATTTTAATAATTTAAATTAAAACTTTTTCATAATTTTTTTATCAGTTTGGGGTTTCTGACCATGCTCTATCCGAATCCGAAGAGAGCTAAGCTCTAGCTCCTTTCCCCTTCGAGTTGAATCTGGGACATGACGCACAGACAGACAGACGGACAGACACCACAGCAAAATTATTATAGTTGATGTCGACCTCGACACGGCCTCCTCGCCGGACATCCTGAGGCAGGGGAAGC